TGTTTTGTTTTGTTTTTACCTTTACTCATTCAGCAAATATATACTATGTGTCTATGAGGTGCGGGGCAGTGTTCTCGGCAATGGAGACAGAGTAATGATGAGACAGATGAGCTCCCTGTCTTCATGGGGCTTCTTTTCCAGCCCCTCTCAGATGCCACATTTTGTGGGTCTTCATGTCTTATCCCCAAACTGCTTTAAGGTAGTAGTCACCGAATTCTCCGTTGTTTGCCTTGCCCCACTAGAATGGAAGCTCCAGGAGTGCAGGGAATTTTTGTCTATGAAAACTTTATTGTGATATACTGACATGAAAGAATACACACATTTTAAAGTGTACAATGTGAATTCATCATCATAATCAGGATGATGAATATAATCATCAGTCCCAAAAGTTTCTCCATGCCTCTTTTTAATCCCTCCTTCCTGCCCCCTTCCCTGATCCTCCGTTCTCTTGAACTACTAATCTCCTTTTTGTCAGCATTGGTTTTATTTTTCTAGACATTTAACCCCTGTAAATAAAGGCTGTTGCCTTGCAAAGGCTGAGAAAAGATTTCTGCAAGTAATGACCTGGATCATGTACATAACTAGTATTTCTACATGCCATAACCATGGTCTTCCAGAATCTACATATTATCTGTGTCTACTAGTGATTGCCAAAAACAACTACACAATCCTGAACACATAGCATATGCTACTGCTAATCTGATAATAATCTATGTGATTAAAATCTTAATTCAAAGAAGGGGGCCAACCAAGCTAAAATACAACCCTATAATTTGGTAAGGAATCTAACGTTATTTTTTCTTACCCTTTTTAAGAACCCTTCCCCCCAAATCCTCAAGGAGCTTTGATTGAGCCCTGTGTACATGTCCACAAATAAAGTTTTCCCAAGTGTTCAATTCAGTTATAGCTTTTTTTTTCCTTTAACAGGGTGAAACCTACAATGGATGAAGTTAAAAAAAAAAAACAACAAAAAACAAATCAAACAAACAAACCAAAATCTTGACCACAGAAGATAGTAAGGATATTTCCTGGTGTTGGCCTTAGCTTGAGGTGGAAAAAAGGAAAAAAGGTATTCCCTCAGAATTCCTTACAAGCTCAGACCCTCTCAGGTTGGAGACCTGATTTCATTCTGTGTGTGGCTCAAAAATTTCCAAGCTAAAAACCAGGCAAACACAAAAATAAAGTTGGCAAAGATTCAGTGATACTAGATGAAATAGATGTTTGGGCATTACTAAACAATGTCACATATGAATAAAGATAATTTAAAACTTGTAGACACCTAATAAACTTGAAAAAGTATAAAATAAAAACTGAAAAACCACATGAAAAATAGACTAATTTTACTATCAAAATGGGAGATTGTTAGATTACAATGACCCCCCCCCAAAAACCGCCAGTAAGTATGTAGAGTATCTGAATAACTTAATTAATTAATTTGCTCTAGTGACTTTGTATATAAACCTATACCCAATAACTATCATGTTAGGAGTGCCTGGCTGGCTCAGTCGGTGCAACTCCTGATCTTGGGGTTTTGAGTTTGAGTCCCATGTTGGGTGTAGAGATTACTTAAAAATAAAATCTTTCAAACGAAAAACTACTGTGCTATTCTTTTAAATCACAGATACACATTTAGATAACTGAGAATGTGGTAGGCCATAAGAAGTCTCACCTAATGTAAAAGAATGTTACATAAATCACAATCTCTGATTATAATTGAAATATGTTAGAAAATAAGTTTTTAAAACCATTCATGTGGAAATTTAAAAATACATTTCTAAACAAATTTGGGGAAAAAGAAATTGTGGGGACTAAAAATAGAACAGTACTGAATAATAGATACTCAACTTAAAATCTTGGGACGTAAAGAGTGACTTAGAAGGAAATGTATGGTCTTAAAAAATTAATAAACTCTACGGCTGTCTAAAGATTATGGTGGGGTGGGGGGAGTAGAAGAAGAAAACCAAAGTAAGGCAATATAAAGATGAGAACAAAATTAAGCAGAATAGGGACGCCTGGGTGACCCAGGGTTCTGGGATCAAGTTCAGCATCGGGCTCCTTGCTCCGAAGGGAGTCTGCTTCTCTCTCCCCTTCTCCCTGTGTGTGTGTGCTCACTCTCTTTCTAGTTCTCACTCTTTCTCAAATAAATAAATAAAATATTAAAAGAAAAGAACTATGGATAGAGCATGGATAATTCAAGCTAATAAACAACTTTGGGGCACCTGGGTGGCTCAGTCGGTTAAGCCTCTGCCTTCAGCCCAGACCATGATCTCAGGGTCCTAGGACCGCGCCCCCTGTCGGGCTCTCTGCTCAGTGAGGAGCCTGCTTACCCTCTCCCTCTGCCTCTGCCTGCCACTCCCCCTGCTTGTGCTGTCAAATAAATAAATAAAATCTTAAAAAAAAAGATAAACAACTTTATACCAACAAATGTAAAAAATTAAGTGATATCAATATTCCTAGAAAAGAATCAATAACCATAACTGACTCCAGGTGAAACAGAAAATCTGAATCGTTCCATAATTATTAAAGAACGAATAAGCATTTTAGATTTTTCCCACATAGAAAACACAGGCCCAAAATGGCTTCACAGGCTAGTGTGACCAAAGACTTAAGGAATGAATAATTACCATTTTACACAAATGCTCAGAGAACTAAAAAAGAAGAAATACACCTACTATTCATTTTAGCAGTCTCATATATTCAAAAGCAGATAGAATAGTACTTAAATGGAAAATTCCAGGCCAATTTCATTCCTAGCCACAGATGCAAAAATCCTAAAGGAAATAATGCCAGCAATGTGGCGGGAAAAAAAATGATCAAATTAAGTTTAATCCAAGAATTCAAGATTGGTTTGAGATTATGAAATCTATTAATGTAATTTACCACATTAAGGGATTCAAGGGGAAAAAAATGTATACATACACAATTATTTCAGTGAATGGATAATACATCTGATAAAATTCAATGCCATTGCCATTCACGATAAAAATTCTTAGCAAAGGGGCGCCTGGGTGGCTCAGTCATTAAGCGTCTGCTTTCGGCTCAGGTCAGGATCCCAAGGTCCTGGGATCGAGCCCCGCCTCAGGCTCTCTGCTCTACGGGAAGCCTACTTCTCCCTCTCTCACTCCCCCTGCTTGTGTTCCCTCTCTCGCTGTGTCTGTCAAATAAATAAATAAAATCTTAAAAAAAAATTCTTAGCAAAATAAGAAAGAGGTACTTCCTTAACTTGAAGGATTATCTACAAAAATTTACAGCACACATCATATTCAATGGTGAAGTATTAAAAGCAATTTCTTAAATATCAGGAGGAAAAACAACAAAAATGTTAGCTATTATCACTTCTTTATTAAACATAGTGGTTTTAGTAGATATAATAAGATTGGAAAAAAGGGGAAAAGAAAACTGCCTTTACCAGAGTGATTATTATTACCCATACAGAAAATCCAGAAATAAAATTCTACATAGTATTAGAATTTGAGATCCATATTCTTATTAAAATTATATACATTTATAGAGGACATAATGACCCTAGAAGGCTCTACATATAGTATTTAAAATATTTAGTAAGTTTATCTTTAGGTGGTGGGTTTATGAGTGATTTTATTTGTTTCAGTCTTTCAGTTTTTCCAGTGTTCTGCATTGGACTATTTTATTTTATAAAAGAATAATGGGAGGCACTGGGGTGGCTCAGTTGGCTAAGCGTCTACCTTTGGCTCAGGTCATGATCCCAGGGTCCTGAGATCCAGCCCTGCATCGGGCTTCCTGCTCTGTGGGGAGTCTGCTTCTCCCCTCCTTCCTGCTCATGCTCTATTTCTGTCTCTCTCAAATAAATAATTTTTAAAAGATTTAAAAAAAAGAATACTGGAATAATGTTACAAGATGTCAAATAAATATATAAAAAAATCAATTTTACGTCTACATACTAGCAACAAACAGAAAATGCAATTTAAAATACTTAAAAGCAATACAAAATGTAAGAGTATCTAGGAATTAACCAAAGATTTACAATATCTTTCTCAAGGAAATTATAAAATTGAAAAAAAAAGAATTTAATATATAAACAGATATACCATGTAAATGATTAAAAAGGTTTGATACCATAAAGATATAACTTCTTTACAAATTAATCTACACATATGATACAATTCCCATAAAAATCATCAAAGAGATTTTTTTGTGGAATTTGACAAGCTAGTCTTAAAATTCATAGGGAAAATAGAAAGGATACAAATAGGTAAGACACCTCTAAAGAAGAATAAATATGTAAAGGAAATTGCTCTAACAGAAAACAACATTTATTATTATTAGGCTTTAAGAACTGAGCTAGTACAGCATTTGTGCTGGGATAGACACAGGAAACAAAGAGAACACTCAGAAGCAGACCCCTCCTGATAACCTGAGCTAGTACAAGTTGCACTACAAGTCAGTAGGTAAAGGCGGGCCTATTTTAAATAGCAGGATAGTTCTCTTTATGAGGAAAAAATAAAAATTCATCCCTACCTAATAGCATATCCTGAAATAAATTTTAGATCGACTTAACTGCTAGAATAGATAGAGGCAGGAGAACAGGAATGGATGACTAATTTTGACTGATGGTAAGGAATGTTTTCTCAGTAGAGATAACTTTGAGCTCCTCCTTGGAGGATAAAAGGAGGAGCAATGTGGGAAATGGATTTCCAGGCTGAGAGAACAGCAAGATCAAAGTCCCATAAATTCCCAAGAGGCATTTTCTGGGACTGGACAGACAACCAGCCCAACTGAACAGGAAAGACAGACAACGATGACGAGGGATGATTGGTGCTTTATCACATTTTTGCACCTATGTTTCACCATGTTTCTCGCCTTCATCCTGGCCAGAACCAGTTATATTCATAGGAAGGAAACATTATAACACAGTCCTTCTAGCCTGATAACTAGTCAAAACACAATTCTCATTAACTGCAGCTCAGATAGGCAAAAAGACACCAAAAACATTTTTTAAAGGCTTGAGAGGTTCAAGTTACCTTTTCTTTTTTTTCTTCAGTGTTTTGGTCCTGGTTATTAGTGATTTTGTTAGCCTTGTTATGCACACTAGGAATGACCTATGACCACAAAAAAAAAGGGGGGGGAGGAATAAAACATTTAAATGTCACAATCATTACATTTCTTAATTTTTAAAGTTAAAATCTTAACTAAGTCTCTAACTTCATCTAAAAAGTAAAGACATGAGAAGTATAATTCAAAGCAAACAATACAATTTGAAAAATATTACAAGCTAGATTACCCAAAATATTGTGTGTGTGTGTATGTAACATCAAAGAATAAACTCATAATATGTGTAGATCCAGAAAGTGAAAATGAAGATGACAAAAAAAAAAAAAAATCATCCCAATACTGATTGTCATCCAAACATCTCATTTTGCAAAATAGTTTTAGGGGTGACCTACATAAACCCCTCCCTAGAACACAAGATGCATCATTTGATAATTTTACCTTATTCATCATTGTATCTCAAGTATGTTATCTAGTACACTGTGCACACTCAATAAATATTTCACTATTACTGTTAGCATGAAGATAAATTACAAATCTATTTACATCCCTGGATAAAAGCTCAATGAGAGCTGGAATCACTATACATAGTGCTCAGAAAGAACCTATTACATAGTTGCACTCAATAAATGTTTATACATGAACAAAATAGTTCCATTTCATAGAAATACTTTTAATTCTCAACTATGCCAACAGCATAGTTTACTTTTTGACTCATTTCTTTTTACAAAACAATCTATGAAACATCTTGGGAAAATATAAAATTTTTAGTGATCTTTTTTTTTTTTAGGGCTCCTCAAATAGCTAACACAAATAATCTTGGCATAGAATCTGATGACAGACATGAAGGTTGTAAGAAAAAAAATCTCCTTTCCCAGAAATGTAAAGAAACTGCCTGCCTAGGGGTAATTTAAAAAACAAAACAAAACAGAGCAAAACACCTCTCTCTAAATGCAATTTAAGATTAAATTTTCTTCACCTTTAATATAGAGTCTAAAGAAATAAACTAATTTTGTAATAAATGAGAAAGTCTCAGGAATGTTTCATTTAAATAAAAATAAAAAACAACAGAGGCACCTGGCTGGCTCAGTTGGTAGAGCACATGACTCTTCATCTCAGGGTCATGAGTTCAAGCCCTACATTGGGCATGGAGCCTCCTTATAGATAGATAGATAGAAAGAAAATAGTAATGACACTGATCAACATATATTTAATGTTTTGTATGTGAACAGACTCTGTTAGTGCTTAGTATTTAGTCCTCTATTTAATACAAACAACAATCCAAGTCCATGTCCGAATTCATTAAACTTTGAGACTTTCTGCAAAACCCCAAAAGAAGTCATTTTCTAATATTGGGACCATCAAAGAAAGGCCCAAGTTCAAAACCTGGTGGTATTTCTTGTCCTGACAAATCTTAAAACAAAATACTTTGCCTTCCTCACAAGTCAGAATACCTGTCCACACTGGACCTACTTTCTCAAACCATGGAAAAAACCAGATGAAGCTGAACAGCAGAAGCTCTGGGATGGGAAACGATGTCAGCTGCCACCCGTAAGGTTTACACTGTTTTTTTGAATAGCACAGAAATAAATCTCTGTAAATGTATCATTAGCCAAATTTGGAAGACAAAAGGCTCACCAAGAAGACTGCATCTTTAATAAAAGTAGAAGACAGCATGTTCCTTGTGAAAGTAAAAACTATATTTTTATATGTTTAATATGCAAATGTACACATAAAGTTTAAAAAGGTGCCATTATGAAACTATGGTATTAGGGAAGAACAAACGGAATATAGGGGAATAGAAAGCAGCATAGGATAATAAATCTAATGAAATTTAATGATGGTCCCAATTTCAAACAGGTTTGTCTTGAAATAAGGAAAAATAATATGTGAAATGTAGTTATGTTATTAAGTGGGGGGAAAAAAATACCCTGGCATAAAAACTTTCTATAGCGGAGTGCAGTATAAATCATCAGTTCTGCTCTCAAGTAAGCATTTGCCAAATAAATCTAAGTGGATACACACATTTCCTTCCAGCGGAATTCAGGAGAAAAAGTTTAAAAAGGTAATGTGTTGGTGATACTCTGAAAGCATCTTTTTTTTTTTTTTTAAGATTTTATTTATTTATTTGAGAGAGAGAGAATGAGATAGAGAGAGCATGAGAGGGGGAGGGTCAGAGGGAGAAGCAGACTCCCCATTGAGCAGGGAGCCTGATGTGGGACTCGATCCAGGAAATCCAGGATCATGACCTTAGCCGAAGGCAGTCGCTTAACCAACTGAGCCATCCAGGCACCCCAGCCGAAAGCATCTTTTAAAAAGCGCAAATATAAAAAAGTAAAATATAACTCAAAGAATAAAAAAAAAAAGTACAAATATGAACACCACTGCTCAATTCATGATGTTGATGACAATCTCCATGTGACCAGGGCACTTTAGACATAAGGGCTTTGATGATCCCAATGTCAGAAAATGACTTCTTTGGGGTTTTGCAGGAAGTCTCAAAGTTTAATGTAAAGTGGTCGAAAATGATTAAGCATTTGGCTGTATTTTCTATTCCTGTGATGACCAATACTACTTGCAACAGTAAATAAGCCAAAGAGAGGGCCATTCTGCAAAGATATTGAACTTGATTCCTTTCAATGCTTCATTCAACAGGAATTACTTTGTGTGGGGCACCTGGGTGGCTCAATCATTAAGCGTCTGCCTTCAGCTCAGGTCACGATCCCAGGGTCCTAGGATTGAGCCCCGCATCGGGCTCCCTGCTCCACAGGAAGCCTGCTTCTCCCTCTCCCACTCCCCCTGCTTGCATTCCCTCTCTCGCTGTGTCTGTCAAATAAATAAATAAAATCTTACAAAAAAAAAAAAAAGGAATCACTTTCTGTTAAAAAATGCAACAAGTCATGGACACAGAAATTTACTCCATCACCTGAATGTGCTCCCTTGACTAGAACCAGAGATAGTTCAGTGCTTGATGAACTAAATGTACAATGTGGCAGCCTATTGTGCTGCTTGGGGAGTAAGTGACTTGAGCATGACATGGTGCTAAAAAGATTCTTTTTTTGAGCAGTGAAAGAAATTGCACCGTTTGTATCATCTAAGCGATAATTTCCACCTTAGCTCACCAGGCAAAGGATGGATTAAATGCATACTTGGACTTTTTGGTTGACTTTATATCCTCCTTTTTTTGCTTTGAATATTTTTTTGGCAGGGCAGTCACAAGTGGCCACCTAAAGGTATCAAGTAATTGGCTCATTCTTGCTCAAAACTGTTTCTTTGGGTTTGAAGTATCATTTGGCAAGGAATAATCTGGCCAATTTTCCTACGGAACTCAGATTCCAGAAATAAAAGTGATAGCCTCAACGACCTTCTCAATATTGTAAGAGCTAAAAGGTGGATTCCAAAAACAAGAATTAGAAAGTGTATTCCCCCAAATTTCAAATTGTATGAAAATGAGAAGACGTTACTCAGTTCATCATTCTCAGTGAGTCTTGTCGGTATAAACACAGCACTAAGACTGGGAGGGGTCACACTGCAACAGAGCGCACCCCCGCAGAGCTGCCCCAGCAGGGTGAGCTTGTAGCCCCCTGTGTGCAGGCAGATTACAAGTATGTCAAAATGTATTGATGCCCCGCCCCCACCCTCAGGGCCGCCAAACATCTGTTCGCCCAGGTTGCCATACGAATATTATTTTCTGTATGCCTTGACGTACAAAAGGTCGAAAAGCACCGCATCACTTACTGAAAAGCATTTTAAAAAAATGCAGTTTTTCTACTGTTCAGAAGTGCCTATGTTTTGAACAGCTGTCTTCCACTATGAAAAGGAAAAATAAACATTTCTTCCAGTCACAGGGCTTCGGGGTGATATTTCTGCTGCATATTGCAAAATAGAATACATATCCTGCCACTGACATCTATGTATCAAAGTTCTAATTCCATACTAAAAGAGTAATTTATGACAGATAAAAGTGTTATGATCAAATACTGCTAGTTTTGAATTCAGGATGTCCAACAGAACATACAACAATGTACCATGTCTGTATTTTTACACTCTTTAATAACTACACAGAGCATGGAGGTACCTCTAGAACGTTTTCACATCTGACCCCCTTTATGTTCGAAGTATTTTATAAACAAAGTAACTGACTCAGAAAAGTTAAGTAACTTGTCTCTAAGTTAGCAAAGCTGGTCAACACGGAATTAAGGAATGGAAAACAGGTCTGACTCCATAGCCTGCAACTTAGTCCAAGGCAGACTGGAATGACTCAAAGTTAACCAAAAGACCAAAATCAAAGAAGAAAAAGGGAAAGTGAAGTCAATAACTAAATTTTTATGAAGTAATGCTTTTTCTAGGCAATAGTAGGATCAAAATGAAAATAAGTGGAAAAATACAAGGAGGCAAAAGCTTGGTCCATAGATATATAGAGTATTTTTTTGAAAATATCAACTAAAGCTTACTCTTGGAGTGGATGACAAGCTCTGAACAACGAACACCACAGGATTTCCCGCATTCTTAATGGCCTCCACTGCTTCTCTGTGCGAGGCATTCTGCAAATCTACTCCAGACACCTAAAACAGAGAAGTAATTTCATTTCAATTAGAAAGGCTATAGAGTTCACATGTATTATCTAGTAATGAGAACAGCCAGTCTAATGAATTAGACCAAAGCCAAAAAAAGGGGGGAGAAAAAAAAAAAAAAGATTTGCCCATAAAAAGCTTAAGAACATGTTTAAGGAAAATAACATTCCACCTTCCAGAAAAGTAAGACAAGTATCTTAATAATAAGAGCCCTGGTTAAATATAATTATCCAAAATAGGTAGTTCGGTCAGTGACAGAACCTTAAGAAGTTTCTGAGCTGTGATGTCACCTCTGCCACTAAACAGAATTCTGAGTGGGGACAGGGGAAGGCGGTCTGGACTCTTCTCTCAAATTGAGAAGTACAATATTTTAAGCAGATTGTCCATTATTTTAATTGAGTAGTTGAACATTTCTCAAATCATGTTTAAAAAAGAACTATGAAAATATCCATAGGTTTTTACTAAAAGTGTTCTCTGTTCAGTAAATTGGGATAAGTATACACAGCTCCTTATCATACAAATTTCAGACAACCTAACTTGCAAACATGTCCAAAATCTCCAAGAGCATTCTGTATCTACCATATTTAACAGAACCAATTTTTCAAACCAATAATGTAACAAAGCCTTAATAAATGTTGGGGTGGCTTATGGTCAGTGGATAGTGACAATTTGTGAATACCTCTTTGCTGTAAGGAGACCAAAGAAATAGGAATGTAGGTGGATAAGGCTGTGGGATCAAGGTTGGCTTTCGTGTTTAAGATGGGAGGTATTACAGTAATCATGGTGTGGCGGAGAGGGAAAATGCATGCTAGAGAGAGAAGTGACACCTGAGGAAGTGAGTCCTTGGACACTGAAGAGGGAACGACTTCCGTAGCACAAGTTAGGGAGACTGGCTTTAGTTAGAAGCACAAATAGTTCATATGTTGTTACAGATACCGTTAGAAAAAAAGATTTGGCACGCAGTGAGAGCAAGGGGAAGTTCCTTTTTGTACTGCTTCTATTTTCTCCATGAAATAAGAAACAAGTAGCATAAACTGAGATTAAGATGGAGGAAGGCAGTTTAGGAGGTGTGAAGGAGTTACCTCTGGAAGCAGGAGAGTGAAACAACTAGGGAAATATTATAGGATTTCAAGGCAGAACTAAAGACTCACTTGAGAAGGAGCTCATGAATTTAAAATGAGACCAGACAGCCTAGCTGGTTATTTTCTCCAGCCACGCTAGGGACCTGAAATAAGCCAAGAGTTGCATTTAACTATGATGTGGTTTCCCCAGACAAGTTCAGTAAAAGCAAAGGGGATCCAAGGAGCTGGAAGTGATGAGGATGATCAATCACTGCGTCAGAGCACGGTGAGGAGAAAAGCAAGCCCACCTGAAGCTGAGGGACACAGAGGTAAGGGCCCGAAGGTAGGAGACAGGAGCCCGGTGTGGGAGAGGGGTTTAAAAGCAGGTGAGTATAGCGCCCAGTGCAGAGATGAGTCAGGGAGGCAGCTGAAGCCACACGACCAGGCAGAGGCTTTGGCAAGAACTTTGGCCTTTTATTCTGACAGATATCCCCTGGAAGGTTTTAATGAAACCTTCTCTTCTGTGAAAACCTCTTTTCTGTGAAAACATCTTTTCCCATTTGAACCCAGGAAGGATATGAATAACAGTAAACCAATATAGAAAAAAAATTTAACTGAAGCTTAAAAGCTATCACAACAGTTTGGTGAAGCTTCTCATGAATAATCTAATCCCCAAAACATTCAACAGTAAGAGAAGTAGAAGCTATAGAACCATTTCATCTTCGAGTAATAATCAGCTTTTTTTCCCCAACACACATTTCCACAGGGTTAAATGGGAATCACTGAAGTTGGGAAGTTAGGGAAAAAATGGAATTCTGTTATATTACAACAGAAATATAATCTTAAGTTTTTCTCAGCTTTAAATGTATAACCCAAAAGTATGTCCATTCACACAGGTAAGACCCATTTCCCAAAATTAAATTAATTGCTAACTTCCCAGGTCAACAAATTCTTCTTTATACAAATCTAGCTCCTTTATGCAATTGTTTCAAGGCAGAGAGAAATGATTATTAAGCTTTCCTTAAAAACAAAACAAATGAGTAATGCTTTCCACAGGAAAAAAAAAGTAAACAAATGACTCCATATGCTTGACAAAATAAATATTAAAGTGTTAACATTTCAAATCTGCTGTAGGTTTAAAGAAATGATTAAATCTGGGACAAAACAGTGGGTTCTTATTAGTATATAAGTGATGGATAAGTAAGAGAATACTTTGTATTCAACTCACAGCAGAGAAAGATGAAGGGGAAAACACATAATTTAAAAAGATAAAACAATGAACAATACAATTAGAAAACAGGCAAAAGACATGCACAAACATTTCACTAAAGAGGACAGGTACAGATGGCATGTAGAGTTCTTTATCATTAGCCATTAGGGAAACTCAGAACAAGATATCACTATCTACCTATGAGAATGTCCAAAATGAAAAATAGTGACACCACCAAATGTTGATGAGAAATGTGGAGAAACCGGACCACCCATATATTGCTGGTGGTGACAGCAATGTAAATGTAATGTAAAATAGTACAGCTACTCTGGAAAATAGTTCCTTTCAAAACTAAAAATGGACTTACCATACAACCAGCAATTGCATTCTTGGACATTTACTGCAGACAAATGGAGACTTATTTTCACTTAGGAACTTGTATACAAATGTTTATAGACGTTTTATTCATAATAACCAAGAACTGGAAACCATGTGCCTTTTTATACACACACACACACACACACACACACACACACACATATATATATTTAAGATTTATTTATTTGAGAAAGAAAGAGGGACAGCCAGTCTAATGAATTAGACCAAAGCCAAAAA